TGGTTTGGCAGGCCCAGGCTGTGTTCAAACTCACCAGCTCTGGTGTGTATGTGGCTGGCATCCTAGCCTCTGAGCTACAGGTGCTGAGTCCCATGAATTATTATTGTTTTTGATACAGAGTTTATGTCACCCTCGGTAGAGTGCTATGGAATCACAACTCACAGAAACCTCAAACTCTGGGGCTTAAGCGATTCTCTTGCCTCAGCCTCCCAAGTAGCTGGGACTACAGGCGCCTGCCACGACACCCAGCTATTTTTTGTTGTGGCTGTCATTGTTGTTTAGCTAACCTGAGCTGGGTCAGTGTATATGACTGGTGCCGTAACCACTGTGCTATGAGCACTGAGCCACCATGAATTATTCTTAAGAACCACAGTCTGCTGGTTGGTATACCTTGATACAACTATGAAATGATGCTATTTTAATATTCTGGCTTTCATTTTATATCTAGTATAAAATTAATATTCTGGTTTTCCATTTTTTTTATTTTTTAAATTATTATTATTATTATTATTATTTTTGAGACAGAGCCTCAAGCTATTGCCCTAGGTAGAGTCCTATGGCATCACAGCTCACAGTAACCTCCAACTGGTGGGCTCAAGCAAGTCTCCTGCCTCAGCCTCCCAGTAGCTGGGATTATAGGCGCCTGCCACAACGCCCAGCTATTTTTTGGTTACAGCCGTCATTGTTGTTTGGCAGGATTCAAACCTGCCAGCTCAGGTGTACATGGCTGGCGCCTTAGCCGCTTAAGCCACAGGCGCCAAGCCTTAAATTATTTTTATTATTACTTTTTTGAGACAGAGTCTCACTATGTCTCCCTCAGTAGAGTACCATAGCATCACAGCTTATGGCAACCTCCAACTCTTAGTCTTCAGGGATTTTCTTACCTCAGCCTCTTGAGTAGCTGGGACTACAGATGCCTGCCACAGTGCCTGCCTATTTTTTTGTTGTAGTTGTCATTGCTGTTTAGCTGACCAGGGCCAGGTTCGAACACACCAGCCTCAGTACATGTGGCTGATGCCATAACCACTATGCTACAGGCGCCGAGCCTCAACATCTTAGTTAAGTGAGTTAAAATATACCAACTTTCTGTGGTGACAATACAATAAATAGCACAACTATACACATAATAGATACAAAATATTTGCTTTTTGAAAATAGGCATGATTGGCTGGGCATGGTGGCTGAGTCCTATAATCCTAGCACTCTGGGAGGCAGAGGTGGGTGTACTGCCCTGAGCTAAGAGGTTCAAGACCAGCCTGAGCCAGAATGAGACCCCATCTCTGCAAAAAAAAAAAAAGCTGGGTGCTGCAGTGGGCACCTATA